GTAGAAAGCCCCATCTTGCTTCTTTGGAGTGGCTGGTGGTTTGCAACCGCTGACCTGGTGGTTAGGAGTTCAAAGCATAACCACTCTACTCACTGCCTTCAAGTCAATTCTGACTCATCACAACCCTATAGGACAGGGTAGAACTGCCCCTGTGAGTTTTTGAGGCAGTCACTCTTTATGGAAGTCGAAAGCCCCATGTTTCCCCTGCAGAACTGGCTGGTGGTTTTGAACTGCTGACCTGTGGTTAGCAGGCCAACGTGTAACCCGCTACTCTACCAGGACTCCCAGCCACTATGCTAGATGGGTTCATACCACTGACCTTTCCCTTTGCAGCTAAGTGCTTAATCATGACACTACCAGGGCTCTTTGTCCTTATGCACATCAGAACAAAATGTGGCCCTGTCCCACGCCTGCTCCCAGCCAATATGCTGAGTTCACAGCAGCGACACTTGTGTAGTGCCTTTCAGCCCTCTGTCACACAATATTCTGCTGTAATCTGTAGGATTTCCACTGGCTAGTAGTCAGACATGGATTGCCAAACTTCTCTTCCTAGTCTATTTCAGTACGGACATCTACCATAGGTGACCAAGCTGGCATGTGATGCTTCCAGAATTGTAGCAACACAGCACACCGCACACACCCTGCTGGGTTGGGGGCTTCTGCTCTGTGCTCACAGAGCACATTTCTGTCACTGGACATAATCCAGTGATGGCATCATTGTGCGCCTGTAACTCAGTGTCACAGAGAAGGTGCTGGTAGCTTAGTGGTAAAATTCTCACCTTCCACATGGGAAACTTGAGTCCAGTTCCCCACCAGCGACCCTCACAAGCAGCTACCACCTACCTGTCAGTGGGAACGTATGTACTCAAGATGCTGAAAAGGTTTCAGCAGAACTTCCAGACTGAGACTAGGAAGAAAGTCCCGGTGATCTTCCAAGCATCTGCCAGTGATGTCTAGAGAAACAAACCGAGTGACACCCATATAGGTAGAAGAAAGAGCTTTACATCAAGTCATCTCGTATCAAGAAGGCATCCCAGCTCCGTCCACCTTAAGTCCACGGGTCCCAGGCTAGCCCAGAGCTTGCTTCAGACTCACATAGCTGCAGGCCCATGATGCAGAAAAGGGGAAGCAGGAAGGGCACAGATGGGTCACACCCTCTGTCAGAGGATACAGGCTTGCGTGGGTTCAAGGTCAGTGGAAATCTGGCCAGGCACCGACAGCTCTCGGTGCTGGGCAGTTCACATGGGGCCGCTCCTGGAGGCAGGCACAGAGTCTCAGCAAGCAGGAAGGTAAAGGGACAGCGAGAGAGCCGAAGGAAGGGGTCCCCGGTGTGTCTCTTATAAAAGGCCACACCTCCTAGCACAGTGGTTCTTAAGCTTCCTAACGCCGAGACCCTTTCATACAGTTCCTCATGTGGTGGGGACCCCCCAACCATAACATGATTTCCGCTGCTACTTCATCACTGTCATTTTGCAACTGTGATGAATCGTCATGTAAATATCTGATAGGCGGATGTATTTTCATTGTTACAAATGGAACATCATGAAAGCAGAGTGATGAATCACAAAAACAATATGTCATTCTAGATTGTGAAATATTTATTTCTAATGACAAATCAGTGAAATTTTGTCTTGAAGCATGGTGTAGCATGGGTCACGCTGAATATAACAACAGTAAACTACATTGCTACATTTTGCGACAGTATGCGGCCAGTACAGTATGCGACAGTAAAAAGCCAACATCAGTGTGAAGGTTGAGATAGCTTCTTTCTCACCAGATCAGAAATTCTCGGGGCAGTCTTTGCAAGAACTAAACAAAAATCATTTTTCACAACATCTACAGAGTAATTATAATTCATGAAGTGTCGTTCGTTTTACCTCCAATACTGCTGCTTTCAACACAGTGGCTGCTTTTTAACACAGTAACTGTTCTCTACACATGTGTGACTGGTCCGCATAAGTACATTATGGCATCAGCCGTGTCACACACCTGTAGTTGTATGGGGTGTCTGTGGTGGGGTTGGCGCAATGATGTCATCACGTCGGGTACTCCTAGGTGGGTGTATCTGCATATGGGCGGACCCATCTGGAGACAGAGGAGCAGTGTCTCAGTTCCTATGATCATCAGAAATAGGTGTTTTCCGATGGTCTTAGGCTACCCCTGTGAAAGGGTCGTTAGACCCCCAAAGGTTGAGAACCGCTGACCTAGGAGGTAGCATCAGGCTGTGACCTGATTGACAGGTTGGATTCCACCCCTACACAGGTGCAAATTGACATAACCTTTACCTCATGGAAATGGAGCAGGACCTCTCAGGGCGCCCCCTGTGCAGGGGTTGCCATGAGTTAGGTGCTGACTGGGCAGCTGGCACACCTTTGAGAGTGTCCTAACTTTGTCTATGGCTCTGGGTTTACTGTTGTTATTAACGTCCAATGCCCCCCCACCCAAATACAAGGGAGGCTTCCAAAAATTCCTGGGGAAATGGAATCAAAAGACATTGGAATTTTTCCACAGACTTTTGGAAGATCCTCTGGTGTTAGCTCTTTGGAAGCAGGAACCTTGTCTATTTAATTTTCCACTGTACGCGCCCCACCACCACCACCACCACTGCCTAAAACACTAACTGCCCTGGCATAAAATCAGCACTCAGGCCTGGGGACTCAGAACCACAGTCTCAGGGCATTAGATTTCTCGGATGGGAAATACCTCGGTTCTTGACTTCCCATGAGAAAGAATTCACGCCAAAGCCCGGTCTGTGATTGGGGTGGGCTTTGATAAAGGATGGAAGAAGTTTCAGGTGTTACAGTCACTGAACACAGGCAACCTCGTGGGACTACACACCCACACTTGGTGGCCTGAGGTCAGAGAGACTGTGGCACAGCTGAGCGGGCACGGGCCAAGAGCTGAAGGGTGAAGAAAAAGGGGTGGTCTCTTGGTCAAGGTATTTGAGGCTGGGAGGCGCAGTCAAAGGTATTGGTTGACCCCATTGGCTGAATTAAGCCCACCTGGGCCTAGTTTGAGCTGCCCAGGTGTACCACCCACCTGGCTTGGGCTTAAATTGGCGCATGGCCAGTTAGATTTTGTGGCTGGCTAAGGGCTTGCCTGGTTCCCCTCCAACCTCCTGTAGGGAGCCTTTAGGCATGGAGAGGGTCACCCCCATCCCTGTTTCTTGCTACCTACCAAGGGGACACCTAGGTCAACTGGCAAGAACAGCCCACAAAGACAGTGTCCTATATCATACACAGGTGCATAGTGCCTAGGACCTTAAAAGCTTGTGAACAGTCATCTAAGGTGTGACTATTGATCCCTCCCCATCCAGAGGGAAGTAGAATGATGACGATCAAAAGTCACAACTAGTCTTTGGAAACAGCCTGCCAATGAACCAACAGACCACATGACCATCAACTTCCATGAC